AGATAAAGAAGAAAATGAAATATTAAAATCATGATTTATCTCGCTGCATTGCGCGAGTACGCTTCTAGTGTTTTATAATATAGTAGAGATATTCTAAATCAAATTTGTGAAGTGTGCATCCCAATGCAGACGTCTGTTTCAGTGTTGTCTTCATGCTTGAAATTTTGAAGTTTAGGGGGTGTTTGGGATTGCTTATCTGAAACAACTTATGACTTTTCTACAAAAGCACTTATTAACTTATGATAAGTCAGAAGTGTTTAACTTCTTAAAAAACTCCTTATTACCGGTTTGACACCGGTATAAATTGTTTACCCAAACACTCAAAAGTGCTTATTACCGATGCCACACCGGAATAAGTCAATAAGTTGTTTTCCCAAACACCCCCTTAGTCCCGCTTCTCATGAAAATGGATGCACCCAAACTCTGCTGTTTTTTTGAAGTTAGCAAAACCTCTTTTTATCCGAACTTTTATAAGAGACGGCGCCGTTTTCGTTCTTTCTGTTTCAAATCGATTATATCAGAAGCGAAGATAAGTGGATGTTGCCAACTTCTCTCTGCAACTCTCTGATATAAGAAACCATCGATCAATGATTATGGTTTACCAACTGCAACTCAAAAGGGATTTAAAGACACAAGACACCTACAGTTCCTGAATCAAAACCAATGAGTGAAAGCAAAACAGAGTTTCATCAGGTAACAAGTGCCGCCGATAACGGCCAATCGTCGAGTTCATGGCGAAACCACAGAGTCGGAACCTCGTTTGAAGAAAAGAGTGAGATGGGTATGAAGGTGGAGGAAGTGAGGCAGCTTAACAAGATGCTAACACATCTCGAACAGGAAACGCACACGATGAAGCAAGAAATGTTGAAGAACGCAGCCGAAAGGAAGAAGTTAATGAACGATGTATATCGCCAGTTAAAACGCCTACAATTCTCTCTACGCCTTCAAAACCAGTCCTCAGGATACGAAATCTGTGAGGTAACATATCATCATCTCTACCGAATTTTACTTTCATCTTGCTTTTTTAACTTTGAGTAGAAACAGGAAGGAGGGAGGCCAGATGGATTGTCTCAAGTTTTATACCAAGATTGGAATTCGTCGGTGGTCATCAGGAGAGGTTCGAGAGCTTATTCAGTCTCGGTCAAACATCTTAGATATGGTAATTGAAAGCAGAATCGATAAAACGACCACTTCTGATAACATTTTGTCACTGATTGTTCAACACAACTATTTGCATAATTCTTGCTAATTCTACAGCTCAGACACAAGCCAAGACTTGCAACAGTTTGCATAATTCTTGTACTAGGCTGAATGTTATACTGATAAGCTTCATTGGGTCCAAAATTTTGATCATAACGACCAAATAGACAACAATCAAGACGCGAAGCATAAAGATGTGGACTCGACATAACACATTTCATTTAATTATCATAACAATTTACATATAAAGCCGAAGGTTCACTAATTATACACATTCCCAATCTTATTTATGCACCTAGCTTGTCCATATTCACAACTGCAGCTGCTTCTGTGGTGCCGAAAACAGTTCTAGAGGAGGATGGTTTTTGCAGAAAAGAGATTTCAAAATGGTCAGTTTTCTGTTTTCAAGCCATCTTAATCAACTGGGACTTCCACATCCATCTTCAATCCAGGATGGTCAAGAATCTGGAGCAAAAGCAACAGTAAAATAAGAAACAACAAAGTGAGACAGCCATATAAGTAAAGAGCACAAATGTCAGCTTTCTGGATTCAGAAAAACAAAATATGAACTGAGGATTGAATATGCACATAAGTGATGAGGAGGAATAAGACCTTAACAAAATCATCCAACAACAGAGAAGAATCTTTACTATAACCAGCTTCCTTCATTACTTTGATCAAAACTTCCTGAAAACTTGAGCTTAATTTATCAGAACATGTTGCAGAGTGAGCATAGACCACAAATTGCATTAAGAAGAAAATGGACTATAGATCATGCCTCTCTTTGCTTATCTGACATGAATGTGCCGGTTAAATCCCGCAACACCTCCATTATGTCATTGAATGTCACCTTACCATTGTAATCTGAGTCGTATACTTTGAAGATAACTGAGATTATGCGTTTACAAGTGTTAGTTGATATCAAAAGGTATTCAGATGGAGAACAAGAGAGCGTTCCCTAACAAGCAACAGGACAATATCAAAAATTTAAGTTTCTTTGACCATTATAAAGACAATTCTGATTAAAGTTTTGAATCCAAAAACGAAAAACACAACCAGATTGTTTCTTAGTTTCATTCAATCTGAGAAAGTAACAAACTTGGATATCTTTATGGGAAAATGGCCAAAATAGCCATTTCTCTCACATATATTGGTCTCTTAGCCATTCCTCACCATGATTTACCCAAATGTCACTACGTATGCAAGTCCCACCTCCCCCACTTGTGGACCTAGCTAAAAGACAAAAAAATATTCAAATTCAACCTAGCTAGGTCCGCAAGTGAGGGAGTTGGACTTATGTAGGCAGTGACATTTGGATAAATTAGGGAGAGGAAGGCTAGGAGGCCCATTTAGGAAGGAGAAATGGTTATTTCGGCCAATTTCCCTATCTTTCTTTCAAGTACATCTTCTCCTTTAACACTCATACCACTATTGGTGCACATGAACACCAGAAGTAAAATCTAAGAACAAGATATCAAAACTAATGATAGTGGTTACTTTGACTCAGAATAAGGTGTAAAACTTACGTTCAATCTTCTGGGGCATGCTTGCTTTAGGATTAAAAGCCGACAAGAATATCACAAAGTCCTTAAAGTTCAAACCATCCACCATCTTAAGCAATCTCTGTAAAGAACCATAAAGCAAAAGCAGTCATTTCATCAAACACCTTCTAGACATCTCAAAAATCTTAAAATAGCAGCACAGTTTCGAACTCCCAATAATTACAAATTACAAAACCCCAGCCAGAAAAGAAAAAGATCATACCTGGGACAGAGGATTCATTGCAAACTCCGGTACCGATAAAAACTCATCGGCAGAAATAAAACCCTTTGCAGTTCGATCAAGTTGGCAAAATCTTTGATACAAAGAAACTATCTCTTGTTGGGAAACTGAATCAAAACAAGTAAACATCAAGTTAAGGGGTAAAATCAAGAAGTGGTCCGTGCCTGTATAACAGAACTGAATTACTTACATAGATTATTACAGTGTTCTTGAACATCTTCGATATCATATTGAGTTAGAGTCGAAGATGCACTACCCATGTGTCTTGAACCTCCAAAGAATCAATCTCTTCTGGTGAAGATAAACAAATTACTGAAATGATTAGATTTGAATGATAACAAGAATAGAAAAACAGAAAATTGGGATCGAAAGGGACCTGAAATGGGAGGATAATTATGAACTGAAATCTTTGATTATGAAGATAGGATTGAACGAAAGATGGAGTATTTAACGATGGGATTACCGTTGTCTTTATCGAAATGCTAAATTTCTGCTTTTGAGCTACGGGGAAACTGATGTATACCCCCCCTTCCCCTACTTTACGCCATTTTTAAATATTTTTAGCAATTATTAATGTTTACAAACTCAAGAAAAATCATAATCAAGAAAATGTTCTTGGTTTACGTTGGCGATGTAGCTGCTCCAATCATTAATTTTTAATGGTTTTACATCGTTTTTAATTGTGAATCTGTCTATGTATAATTTCAAGATTAAGTGGTCGTTTATCAAATGTTTACTCGGGTAAGTGAACGTCAAGTCATTTTATTTTACCGGATGAATATGGTAAGGATCAAGAGTCTTACTCGGTAAGTGAAGGCGACGATTCTTACCATGGTAAGCGGTTACCGGGTAAATTGTTGCATACGATACTGTTTTGGTGGACTAAAATCTTATCCGATAAGTAAATGATAGTGTTAAATTTACCGATAAGCGCTTACCGGGTAAGTGTTTGGTAAACGGCCCTTAACACGTGGTAATACTGTAAAGAATATAGAGGAGATAACCGGTCATTTTACAATTCACGATCTTGGGAGTAGAGTTTTCTCGTTGGTACACCAGTTTGGTTTCCTGCTTTTCATATCATTTGTACTGCTCCAGAAAATTTTTACTAGATAGTGTCTGTTTTATCCACGTCTGAACTCACGATTGTAAAATGTGTCTGATAAAGAACGCATTTGTACCATTATAAGATAATTTTTGTTCCATTCTCCAACTGATGTCGGATCTTACAATTTTAACTGATCTTATAGAATTCAAACGTGAAGTTTAAAGAGTTAGATGTATGCATAAATCAGGGAAGGTTAAAAAAGAAGCTTGTTGTGGGCTCTTATGTGAATACACTTATTTAAATAAATAAAAAACTATTTGAAGATGTATATATGAACGAATATTAAAGATTATTCATATCGATTCACACGTATACATGCATCTTTATATTTATATTTTTTCAATAATTCACATGTGAATTTTTCATTAAATTCTTTTCTTACTTTCTCATGATATTTAATCTTTTTAAAGATCCAATTGCAATAATAAGTTAAATTTGAACTTAAAACTAAATCTATATTATATTATAAAGCATTTGACAAAAACTTTTAAAAATATTTTTTATACATAAAGTACTGTTTATTGATGTATATTACTTAAAATTCAAGATTACAAAATTAAAGAAATTACACAACAAAACAAGAACTTTTAAATAGTTAATTTGATACTAACATCGATGTATATTTTTTTTTTAAAATTTTAAGATATCTTCAAATTTATATTTTATTCAAAATCAAAAACATTATTGATTTTCTCAAAACCACATAAAATCATATTATAATATCGACAGGAGACAGAATAAAACGAAACATTAAAATCGAAATATATCTCGCTGCATTGTACAAGTACCTTTCTAGTATCTTTAAATAAACAAGGTAGATGTTTTACAATAAACTAAAGGTTTTAATTAAAATAATTTTTTTCTATTTCTATAGAAATAAAATAGGCATTGAGATAGAGATGTATAATTAGGGTACATATAGGTAGGTTTGGTGATGATTAGGGTTTTGAATGACCTAATTGAATTATTGTGGCCCATAAAATCCTTAATCCTTAATTCCCTTTTTGAATATATAACCTAACCTTGGGATAAAGACAATAAAATTAAATGTGGTGGTTTCGAGCTATCTGCAAAGTAAGTGGTTGTCTTGGGATTAGTCGGCTCGCATATCAGGTTGGATATCCAGGTTAATTAAAAAAAAATTAATGGTTCATAATCAACAATTAAAAATATTATAGTAAATTACGTTTTTCATCCCTATTGTCTGTGAAAACTGTAATTTTCATCTTTGTGGTTTTCAACTGTATAATTTGTAATTCAGTGTTATTTTTGTTTTTGAGGTTAACTCCTACCTTTAAATATGAGGAATTAAAAGAATAATGAATTATAAACTACGTTGATGAAAATAACAATGAACTTGAGCTCAAAAGGTGAAAACAACATAAAGTGAACCACAAGGGTGATGTCTGATTGGTTTGAATTTGGGCTCAAAAGGTCAAAAGTGTCTGGAGCTCCGAGGTTCAAATCTAAAAAGAAATAAAAATCCCTTTGTGGCCATGTAGGTTCAAATACGGTGACTTCGGACTACCTGCAAAACAGATGGTCACTCTGGGATTAGTTGCTCGCATAGCCGGTTATATATCCAGGTTAATCAAAAGGGAAAAAAAAATAAAGTGTAAACCATGGGGATGAAAATCGTGCTTTCAAATCACAAAGATGAAAATAGCAATTTTCAAAAAGCACGAGAACTAAAAACGTAATTGACTCAAAATATTACTATCATCCAGAACAGTAAATAGAAAAAAGAAATTCAAACAAAAACGAAAAAATTTCTTCGCTCAACCTCCCTTTGACTACAGTGTTAAAAGGATCGGACTTTAGGTGTTGTTTTCAAATCAGATTTATTTATAGAAAGCTGTTTCCGTTCAATGACTTGAGATTCCTTAGGTTTTTTACGATGCCAATTATTTTTTTTTTAAAAAAAATTACCGTTGTAGTTTGTTGATAAAGAAAATTTGTTTATGTGGTATTAAATAGTCTTTAAAAAAACTTTACCGTTAAAGATACTCTAAATTGCGTAATCGTAGTTGTGATTGCATCTACAAACCTAATGCCCTAATCCCTAAACCTATTTGTTTCCATAACCTCGTCTCAAAGAACCTCAGAAGTCTCAAAACATAGTATCACGAATGTTTATTTCAGGTATTTCTTAAAAAACTGATTTCGACATATGATAATTTGGTGTTAGCTGGATTTATGGAGTACTAGGGTTTTGTGGCGTAACCGAAACATTTCGTCAGACATATGACGATAGTAAAATTATCACGGAGAAATTGATGGAGAGAAACTAAACTAGAAAAGGTCAAAACCTCCGAGGATGGTAATCAAATGAAAATTGTTTTGTTTGTGTTAACCGTGATATCTAATCTCAACCACAAATCAAAAGTTAAATTATTAAATTAATAATTTTAGTAATTTTAACTTAAAACATTAGGGATTTTATAAATATCTCCTCTCATCTCTCCTTTTTATTCTCTCCGGCGAATCTTATTCGACGAACCTTATGTGAACACAAAATATACACTGTGATACTTACAAACGATATTCACTATGATACCCATATATACATACAAAATGCATAATATGATACCCTTTGTAAAACAATGAAAATAACGAAAATGCACACTATGATACATTTTATAAAAACAAAGAAAATACATCGTGGTACACATGAAACATTGTGAACATTATCACTATGATACACTTTAATTCACAAACGTCTTTAAAATACAGTGTATATTAGGTAGTTGACATACTAAATAACTAATTTTAATTAAAGATTTCCTTCTAAAAAAAATTAATTAAATATTTTGATTAGTTGTCAAAAATAAAATTACTATATTTACTCGTTTAACTTATTTAAGAAATATCTTTAAAAAACCTCAAACAAGTGGTTCACATTGGATCTCACGGTTACCACAAACTAATCAGTTATTCCTTAAATGAACATATATATATATATATATATATATATATATATATATAAAATTTGGTGATGAAATCACAAAAACAATGAAACATATTTTGTTCCAAATATTCAAAATTCATATTTTATATATTATGTAAATTAATGCACCAATAAAATACTTGGTTACCAATAAACATGATAGGTTAAAATGAATGTACAAATTGACATGATTGCATTTAGAATATGACGTGACATGACATTTAAAAAACCTAATAAATTCGACAACATTTCATTTAAAATGTGAGGAAACATAACATTTAAGATGCATCATTTTCACAACATTATTGATTTCAATTCCATAGATGGAAACCAGAGGTCCTTATTGGGTCTAGTAGATCCAAATCGAGTCCGACCCAAACAAAATGCATCTAATCATGGTTGGTTTAAGGTCGTAACTTAACCGAAGGAAACCATAGGTCCTTATTGGGTCTGGTTCGATTCAAATCAAGCCCGACCCAAACAAGATGCATTCAATCGTGGTTGGTTTAGAAGTTGTTAAACCAACCACGACTAGATGTACTTCAAAACTTATCAGAAACTAAATCAAACAAGAAAACAAATGCCCACAAATCAAAAAACCGTTGTGATCATGAAAGAGAAGACTCGAATGCGACCCTCCACAGAAAATGTGCCTTCTAATTTGGTAAAAGAAAATTTAAATAAAGAGTAAACTACAATTTTCGTCCTTTTGGTTTGGAAAATGTTACGATTTTCGTCCTTTTGGTTTGGGAAATATTGCGATTTCCATCCCTATGGTTTGAAAATTGTTGTTATGTTCGTCTCTATGGCTTGTAATTTATTATTCTTTTTGTCGCTGAGACTAAATCTATTAAAAATCCTCTATTTAAATTTGGAGTATTTTAGACTTTTTAAATATTTTTTTGGTTTATTAAATATCTTTTTTGGTTTTTTATTTAATCAAATTATATATTTTTTGATGAAAGAATTAATACCTAAAAAAATTATATTATTTTGTTACTGTTTATGATAAAATATTTTTCATACAATTCGTTGGTTCATATTTTTAGTCATTATAGTTTTAGTTTTCTATTAGTTCGATTTTTGTCACTAACGTCGTTCAAGTGTAAGTCGTTGAGTCCCGCTCGCATGATAGTATTTTAACTTCTTTTTTTTATTAATTATGGACAAAATGATTAAAAATTTTATAACACCAGACACTTAACAATATTAGGTTATTTTAATCAAATAAATATATGTAATTTTATTAATAGAATATATAATTTTATAAACTTATTATAGCACGTTTATATAAGACATACATTTGTTTAGTATAATTGAATGACTTATGAGACCAAACAATTGTACATGCTATTTCATAAATAAAATATTTATCTTGAATATATATATATATATCACATTTCTTTTTAAAAGAATTGAGTTGA